CCTCAATTTCTTAACCTCCACATCCACTGAAGTCATCTGTATGTGAATTGAACGGAGTCATTCTTTACGTAGTCCTGAAACTTAACCCTCATCATACGTCTAATCGAACGCTATTGCATGCAGTTCAACCGTCCTGTTCTTTCGTTAGACAACTGTCTCCCTATCATACAACGGCGATGACCTGACAGAAGCAAGGTACAAGTGAATTTTTTTCGAAAGGACTACTGCTTTATCAGCTTCAATATTCGTCAAGTTGCAAGTTACAAAGAGCACTGGATGCGAGAGTGATCATCCTATTTAACTGTAATTATATGGTGCCGTCGCTGGAGATGTTTGAGTCGACGCACTCAGTTTGGTCGACTTCCTCTATGGCTTCCATTCTCTGTTCCGCTAGAAGATTAGCCATGTCTAACGGATTCTTCATAGCTTCGGAGCTTCCGGACGTTGAGATAGAGCCGACTTTCGTAAACGTGTTGCGAACTGAAGCCGTTAGGTGACAGAGCGCGCTTCCCGTACTACTCACCAGGATAAGATCATCTGCATACTACATGTCAGTAAGATATCTGGGCGAATATCTTGACTGCGCCTTCCCTCTATAATGAAACCTCCACCTTTTCCAGGGCGAGGAATGTTTCGGAGGAGAAAATCGAGAACAGTTTTGAAAAGCAAAGTCTAAAGGGCAACTTCACAGTTAATACGAAGATATTCAGATAGGGTTCTTTCAAATTGGACAGCAGATGCCGTTCCTGCATATATTTGTTCCAAAGTGAAAACGACTTTATTAGATATCCCATAGCACATTAGGATTCTACACAATGCTGGACGTTGTGCTGAATCAAATGCAGCTGGAAAGTCAAAAAACTGGCAAACCGTAGCAACGGAAATCTTTGGCATTGCTCGATGAATCTATTAACGGTGAAAGTTTGGTGAGGGCACGAAAGACACCATGCTTGACTTCGGCGGAGTAATCTGTCCATTGCCTGCTTCAACCTTTCCAGGATAACTGTAACGAACAGTTTCCCGGGTGCAGAAGTCCGGCAATACCGTGATAATTTCAGTACTCAGTTGTCCATCTCCCTTTAATTATGGGTACAGCTGTACCTGGCTTAAATTCGCTTCGGAACTACTAATAAGTTCACATTGCATAAAATAGGGCACTGAGTTTTTCTAGCACTCCCGTTCAGTCACGCTTAGTTAACTGCGAGAAAGTTGATCCACAACGCAGGCGAACTCCACAAGTAGTTTAGCAAGCCATTTTGGACTTATGATTTTGTAAAGGGGTCTATGCTAATCTCTCCTGTTGGTAGAAAATTAACGGCAGGAAAAGGATAATCTGGAGGACAGCTATTGTGTAGCTGCTGGAAATGCCCAAACCACCTTTTAAGGCGTTCCTTCTTATCTGTCAATGGGACTCCCTTGGAATTTTGGATAAGGATGGAACGAGATCTCTGCGCGTACCAGAGAGCCATCCTACACATTGGAACATTGTTCACAGGTCACCTGGCTGCCTTAACGATCTTCCTGATTTCACTCTCCAGCAACTGATGGATTTGATGGTAGGTAAATAGGGTATTGCTAACCACGAGACCTTGCGTTAAGCAACGGCTTAACAGTCGTCGACCGTTGTCATTCAGCGTCCTAGAACCACGTTGGCCCAACACATGATGCCAGTTGGAACAGTCTTTGCTCATGTTACCGGCGACGATCAGTAATTGATGATGTGGAAGAGAACCGACAAGTGCGTGTAATCATGCGTAGAACTCGCCCTTCCTTCGATAATGCACGACGTTGGTGAAGGGCGTACACGACCATAGCGCTGACCTTCGCATGCTTTGTTGCGAGATAGCAGACAAGCGTGCATTCGGTTGGCAGTATACTCGACTGAGACCAAGGCTTTCACTGCAAGTGGCGACAGCAACACTGCCGTTTCTGACTTGCTTCTGAAATTCTGGATCCCAGACCAGTGAAGCTGCCATCCGTTTTCCAAGCAATCTTCTCCCTGGTCAGGAATGTGAGTCTCTGAGATCGCAAGGAAGTCGAGGTGGAACCGCTCAGCTGCACGAACGACGTCATCCGTCTTGCCGTTTCCGTTTGACGATCGCGCGCACCAACAGGCGGCACGGATTTTCTCCTTGCTGATGCTGATCGACAAGAGGTCAGATTTCTTAGTATTAAACGTTCGGATCTGTGGAAGTACACCACCCTTGCACAGGCGTGGCGTAACCGCGTTACGTAGCGAAAGAACTACCCTACCGCTCGCGGTGGATTACATCCAAAGTATACTCATAGGCTTAGGATTTAGTGGGCCCTTAAACTGCCTTCTAACGGTGCGGTAACAGTTATGAGCGTTAACGGACCCGTTTGTGCCACTGAAGAAACTTCGTGTATAGTAAAATTCCTAATTAAATACTTTAATTGCAAACCGAGATCAGGTAAGCCGATTTGTTGGTAGGTAAAGTAGTCTGTTCTCCGTTTCTTCTGTCACTGCTAGTAATCGTTCTGGCGTACTTCACACTTTGGGGCAGATTATTAAGTTTTTCTTTGACGCGAAATCTGCGACACCGTATTCTCTGTTCATCAGCAAATGATTGGCAGGTTTCATGATTTCCGCGAAGTTCTCCGAATACTCTGTTAGACCGCTAGAAAACTTTCCCCACGAATTTCCAGGAAGATGTCAGAAACTGGAATTTTACCAGACGCTCGACATCAAAGAAAACACGGTCGTTATATTTGCATGCTCAGTGTAAATTAACACTACTATTTATTCGCTGCGTGCAGCCGTTAATCGTAATAATCGTGCATTTTTGTATATGCTGAAAAATGGAGCTCCTTTGTGACTCCGTTCAAGCAGTAAGATTTCTTTCTTTTAGGTAACTGATTGCCATTGCCCGTATTATTCGCCAAACAGAGAATCACGAAGCTTCAGGCCTTCTTCTCTCTGCGCATATAGTAATGGTTAGAATGAATTTATGATGCACTGAAAGTGCAAAGCATTAAGAACGCACCATGAAAACATATAAGCATTACCAAGGCAAACTTTTACGCGAAACTTGTGCCTGGGGGTAACAGAGGAAAGCGGTTGTCCGAGAAATGTCATAGATTAAGATAAAGATTCGAACCTAGCTAATCAACCTTAGAGGTTGCTGCAACGGCTGCTGGGAGGATCGCCTAGTACCGTATTTTTGTGTATCGGGACACATGGCGTCGGCATTTAAGCCATTTAAATTAATTTAATTTTAT